GTACACGGGGCAGGTTCAAGCAGGTGGGAGAAAGATCAGGAAAGTAACAGCATAAAAGGTCATGAGGAGCACAGAGCAAGGGCACACAGGCAGGACACTGAGGCCAAATGGAGAATGACTAAATACCCTCCTAGCAGGCAGCATCAGGTGATGACTAATTGCTAGAAACTGCTGGCTGCTGAGAGACACCTGCTGGTGGACATTGGAATTACAATCTACAGGTCTTGGAACCAAAGTGCCACCAGCAGATGATTCAATTCCTGATAGATAAAATGCTTAAAACCCCGGTCAAATCAAGCCCGACTTGGTTTCGTGCAACTTACAGTGGAAATCGTGCAACTTACAGTGAAGTCTCATGCTTTCAAAGTCGGTGGACATGCCGATTTCAGGTGCCATTTGCAAGACATTTGACACAGATGTCTATGTAAATTGCACGAAAAGTAATGCATGTACTACTTTAGAAATCAGTGCAGCTCCGACCAAGTTGGAACCGTACAGATTTGACCGCTGTAATTGCGGACAATAGCGTGTGACTTGGCATATGATTTGCAAGTCGCACAGCATGCAAATTGAATGCCAAGTCGCACCCAGTATGACTGGGGTGTTAAGGTGCAGATGGAGGGAGTAGTAAATGACTATTAGTAAATACATTTTTAGAGTTGACAATACTTCGTATTTTACTTTAATCAACTGACAATCTTCAGAAATCATTAGAAGTATGTACAACGGATATTCAAGAATAGAAATGAGGATTGGCTTAGCCAATTACATGAATTCAAGAGGAATCCTTCAGATTTGAGATTTTCTGCCCCTGCAGATGTGCAGATTCACCCAGTAGAATATTTGGTAAACCATAATAGCATTTATGTGTGACAACCCATCTGTTCTTAAAGTTGGCTTTTGTTTTCACAAACAAATTAGGTGCAAGATCAATGTGCACTTTAATCCTTCACCCAATATTACTCACATTCACCCCACCCCCATCCCCATATATAAAATAAAAGTGAGGCAAACAACAATTAGGTCTACTGTCCTTAATTAAAACTGTCCTGCTCGTGGACAATTTTATGCTATTGTATCTTTAGCAGTATCTTTATGCTTATCATGAAACCCCAGGATGTATTCTTTGTCTCTTCTGCTGGCTAATTTTACAATAATGTTGCACTTTACCTCAGAGCTTAGTGAATTGTGTGAAGTTTCACTTTGCAAAGACTATGTAATCATGTGCAAGGAAATAAAAAAAAACACTTTGCAAAAGCTATGTAATCATGTGCAAGGAAATAAAAAAAAAACAGCATTTTTACTTATGCATGACTCGAATGGAATTCAGCAGAGCTTCACCGCATTCACAAAGTTCTAGGGCAAATTCCCTTGCAAAGTGAACAGTCTATTTACCCTTAGTAAATCTACCCTATTTCACTAGTATTTTGTCCAATTTTATCTCATTAAAAATGTCCTACTACTGACCCATTTTACAATGATGTGTCATTTGTGATCTCTTTATTGTCTGTGAGCGTTTGTTTGAAATTGACCAGTGGCTGGACAGTTTTCGCATCCGTAAGAATAGGGACAGACACCTAGAACTATTGAACATATTCTATCTGCAAGTTTTATTGCTGCTTTTTTTATTTGAAATAAACCAGATTGGGGTCTTGCTGCTGCTGTATCTAAATGTAAAAGAAAGAAAATAATTTCACAGTCAAATATTCACTGCCAGCATATGCTGTCACTAAGACTGTCTGTGAAAACAGTACTGTTCTATAACACTATGCACAGTTTTAAGGCACCCCAAAGAACATTATTTAAATAATTTGTGTATTTTAAATGCTACCCATAAAGTCACATAAAAAGACCCTCAACCCACTGTTTTTTTTTCTCTGTTTTGCTTTTTTAGACAGTTGTTTTCCTATTAGCTCTAAAATGGCCAGTATCTAGCAACTTATTCACCCCCATAGACTTCAATGAGATTTAGCTTTAAGTTTGGGTTGACTGATTTTCAAATCTGCACCAGGGTTGATCCATCAACCATTAGTCAATATTAAGGCATGTCTTGGGAGGACCAGGCCTATTAGGTGAATGCAGTGTCTATTACAAATAACAGCCAGAGAGTTATGTTGCTACATAATTCATACCCTCATTTTGACCACAGCCACAATTAGCCATGGTCTGCCAAGTAAGCTTTACTCCTAAGAGTGATATCTCAATGTGCCCCATGTCATTTAACCCCTTATCAAAAGTTCCTGCAAATGTGCACCAAGAACCCCATATTGATGACATTTGTAAAGAGCCCTAGCCCTAGTCCTACAATAATACTGGATATGTTTTCTGTTAATGTGAAAGCCAGGTATGTTTTTACTCTTTGTTCAAACTAAGATTGAATGTAAAGTGTTTCATTAAAGATGCTAATGTTATTTTCCAGCTATGAACATTACATTAAAATATGTAAATTTTTAGGATACTACCCCTCATTCTAGAAAAAAAAAAGGGAAAAAATGAAAACTATGCAACCCATGACAACTGGGGAAAAAATTATAGAATGCCTATAATTTTATACTTTTGATAATTTTTTGCTCCGCATGCATGATCTCAAGATCGTTATGTTATTTCAAATAAAAAAGATTATACATAGACATATACATGATAGATAATCCATCTTCAGCTGCTTTTTTTTTTAAAGACGCCTTTATCTCCTCGACAATATTGTTAATTCATTCTCCTTCCTTCTATCTCATATTAAGAATGAATTGGGAAATGTCTGTACTTCCTCTTTTCCAATTTTGTTTACTTCTATATATATCTTAATGTTGTAACCTCGGGTGGCCCAACGGGCGATGAGAGGCAAATTCAGCCCAACTGGAGACAGAAGGCTATTTTCACCTTTTCTAACCCCCTTTTCTCAGACCCGACCCTCAACTTTCTTTATTCCCTCCTGTTCCCTTCCTACCCCCCACCCTTACATTTTTTCTTTTTCTTCTTTTTTGATTTACCTTAACTATTTTTACTTATGTCCTTGACCAGGCCTGTTCCTGGGCAACAGCACCATTGTGAGTGTACAGTAGCCCTCTGTTGACTAGGTTGTTCCTCTGAACACCCCATTAGGTAATCTCACAAATTATTTCCTACCAGGAATGAGGCTCCAGCTATCCCCTTGTGCAGCCTTGTAACTGATTCATCACTAGATTTATCTTTTATATGATATTGCTACTGGTTCCCTACGGATGCTAGGGCCTACCATTAGACATGCGGTAAACTCTGTGTACATTGATGTTTATGTTGGATCGACATCTGCTGCCTTTATGATGCTGTTGTATGCTGTCTCTTTATTGTCAATAGAAAATTTTTGGAAAAAAAAAAATAGTGTAACCTCAAACTTTATCTATGGGGGGATTTACTAAAACTGGTGCACTTGGAATCTAGCCAATCAGCTTCAAATTTCACGTTGTTCAATTAAGCTTTGACAATAAAACCCAGAAGCTGATTGGTCTCTATGCACAGTTGCACCAGATTTTGCACTCACCGGTTTTAGTAAATAACCCCCTATGCTGCTTGTTTTATATATTCAATAAAAACTACTGAAAAGAAAACAGGGTAAAATTGAAATCACTGAAACCCATGAAAACAGGGCAACAGTGAAATCCATGAAAACGGGAAAAAAATCTTTCTTACATATGTTTTCTTGGCACAGAGTGCTTTTCCAGTAAATAACATTGCCACTTCACACATCCTTACAAGTGGTACTTGCTTCAAATTCACAAGCTCTGCAGCATAGTTAGATGCTCTGCCTCCCTGAAGTGGATTGTAGGAGTTATTTGGAACATTCGTGCAAGTAATAAAAGCTGTTTGACATGATTGTATTCAGAGAACACTGGTGAATGTGCCAAATTTAACTCTTCACAGAAGTTATGTGACTGGGAAGGAGATATGAGTTTCATGCTGAACTGAACTAAGCAAGCATATGGAAGCAAAGAAGAAAAAAAAGAGCAAAAAAAAAAATCATCCCAGCTGCACACAGCAGTGGCTGTGATCTGACATGCAACATTCGCCTAAATGCAAGGACATCAACAGAGCGCTGAAAAAAGGAACTATTAAAAGTAAGTGTTTTAGGCAGAATGCAAACAGACTGTGCAAAATGGCTCAATTTACAGAACACAATAAAAGTATAATATTCTCCCTTTCAGAAAATGTGATAAAGACCATGTCATTTTATTTCACAATGAGTGCTGTTCCACATCATTTTATCATAAGATTCATGCAGGCTCTAAGAATAGTAAATCTCGCTATAGCATCTTGTGTCCAGAACATCCAAATGTGAAAAATCATGTATTTTTCTGGCATTTTATTTATAGCTGTCTAATGACATAAGTTCTTTCTAACTACCTCTAAATCTGATTCAGATTTGTGATTCTTACCTGCTGAGGTATTTCAACAATAGAAACCTTTTTTGTTTTTACATTTGGAAAATGAAAAAACGAAGTTAAAGCTGGCCACGTAAGGCATAAAACTGTTACATGATACAAATCACAGGGGTTGATTTACTAAAACAAATGGGATGCAGCTCTGCATTGAAATCAATCAGCTTCCAGTCAAAGCTTATTAAACAAACTGAAATTAGAAGCTGACTGGCCACCATGCACAGCTGCACCAGATTTTGCACTCTCCAGTTTTAACCACCTCCCGCCTGCCATATAGTAATATGACGGACACAAGGTGGTTCTCTCATTCTGGGAGGACGTCACAGCGGATCACCGATCACGGAAAGAGCCAAAGATGTCGGCTCGGTCATGTGATCAGCTGTGTCCAATCACAGCTGATCACATGTAAACAGGGAAATGCTGGTTATTGGCATTTCTCTCCTCTCAAGCTGTCACACTGACAGCTCATGAGGAGAGGAGAGCTGGTAATCGGCTTTCCGCGGAGGGGACATGTACACTGATCATCAGGGCACTGATGATCAGTGCGCCCTGATGATCAGTGTAGCCCCAGAAGCGCCACCTGTCAGTGTCCATCAGTGTCAGCTGTCAGTGCTCATCAGTGCCTCGTGCCAGTGCCCATCAGTGCCACATCAATGCCACATATCAGTGCCTACCAGTGCACATCAATGCCACATTGCAGTGCCCATCTGAGCTGCCTTTCAGTGTCACCCATCAGTGCCAGTCAGTGCCACCTATCAATACCTATCAGTGATGCCAATCAGTGCCACCTATCAGTGCCAGTCAGTGCTGCCTATCAGTGCCGCCTATCAGTGCGCTTCAGTGCCGCCTGTCAGTGTCGCCTAACAGTGCCAGTCAGTGCCACCTAACAGTGCTAGTCAATGCCGCCTATCAGTGCTGCCTATCAGTGTTGCCTATCAGTGCCATGTATCAGTGCTGCCTTTCAGTGCCCATCAGTGATGCCTGTCAATGCCCATCAGTGCCACCTACCAGTGCCTCCTCATCAGTGCCCATCAGTGCCACCTATCAGTATCCATCAGTGCAGCCTATCAGTGCCCATCACTGCAGCTTCATTAACACATATCAGTGAAGGAGAAAAATCACTTATTTGCAAAATGTTATAACAAAAACTAAGAAAAAATTTTTTTTTCAAACTTTTCAGTGGTTTTTGGTTTGTTTAAGAAAAAATAAAAAACCCAGAGGTGCTTAAATACCACCAAAATAAAGCTCTATCTGTCACAAAAAAATGATAAAAATTGCATATGGGTACAATGTTGCATGACCGTGCAATTGTCATTCAAAGTGCGACAGCACTGAAAGCTGGAAATTGGCCTGGGCAGGAAGGGGGTATAAGTGCCCTGTAGGCTAGCGGTTAACAAATCAACCGCATAGTGTGATAATTACACAGGTGATTAGCACAGTAAAACCTACTTAAAACAGGAGGTATTTACATGTCTCATTCCATCACATATCCCAAAAATAAGAAGGTTATTCCTCATTTTAGTACAGTGGGCGGAGCCATGGAAATCATTGGTTTATCCCCTTGTGCCCCAATACATATCTAGAACCACTGGTGTTTAGTGAAAATATAGCCTAATGTTGTAGAGCCATTTTATTTAATCTGAATACAGCTGTTTCAGGCAATTTGACATTCATCGGTGTAGTGTGTGGAAACTAAAGCTTCTATGGAGTAGGACCTGGGACCCAAGCAATAAAAACCTGACAGAGGTCCCAACCTTGCTTCTAAAAACTTTGTTTTATTGCTGTCGGGGGTTTTATTCCTGTCAGCGTCTTCATTTCCCCTAATGTCCTGTTTTATCTGACACCTATTAAAGTGGTTCTAAAGGCAGAAGGTTTTTTACCTAAATGCATTCTATACACAGAGCGGTAGCTCTCTTGGGTATCTCTCTTCTCAATGGCTCACACGGCATTGGGTGCCATTGGTTTCTGCTGCTGTCAATCACAGCCAGTGAGCTAATGAGGGAAGATCAGGTCTGGTGCAGAGCTGAGCCACTCTCTGGACAATGTCCATTCACAGGACTGTGGCCCAAGAGCGAGCCTGTTTGAGTGTCCCCATAGCAAGAGCAGGGGCGGACTGACCATTTGGAAACTCGGGCACTGTCCGAGGGCCCGGGGTCAGTAGGGGGCCCCATTAGATGCCCTGGTACCTTTTTCATAGGCTTTTTTGAGTTTGAGCAAGGACACAGGGGCCCCATGATCCCCTATTGCCCGGGGGCCCCATGGGTTGTCAGTCTGCCCCTGAGCAAGAGGCTTGCTTTTGGTGGCACATGGCAGGGGGGAGGAGTCAGGACCACTGATGGTGGAACCATAAAGAAATGGATCAGGGCTGCTCTGTGCAAAACCACTGCACAGAGCATGCAAGTATAACAAGTTTGTTATTTAAAAAAATATATATAATCTTTAAAATCACTTAGATAGATGGAAATTGAGGGGAGTTTGAGGCATTTCAGTGATCCCCAGTGAATCTATAGGTGATGGTATTGTCTGAAAAAAACAATCACATTATAGATCCACAGAAGATGCATTTATATGCAGGAACGTAATTGAAAAAAGTCATTATTTTCTTCATAATGCCACAAAGTATTCTAGTAGTCCAAAGCATAAAAACATTTACATTTTATTAGGGAAACTCTGCAAACCTATTTTGGTGATGGTTTAGGTCTCGTACACTCAATGAGAATATCGGCGGAATGATCGGCCCTTTTTTTTGCATGCTTGTCTCATAACGAAAACGAATAAGTTACTAAGGTAGCAACAATTCTTGTAAGACAGAATACAACTTTGGAAGTGATGTAATGTATTGTATTGTATTGTATTGTAATGCATTATTTTGTTTTTGAGCATGCGTGGTCACTTGATTTTTTTCGTACAAACACTATACTAATACTTTTCGTGCTAATGCTTTTTTAATTGCTTTTCCCTTAAGATAATTTTGCAAGACCTGTCATGATTGGTTCTTAAAAGCTGTGTACTAATGAATATGTTACTGGACAATTGTTCTGAATGCTTTTTTTTTGTCCGATTTTCTCACCGTGTGTACCAGGCATTAGGCAGATCACTCATGATCTCTAATCTCTTGGGCACCCGAACCTCATCATAAAATGTCTTTAGACTGAAAAGAGGCTTAGGTCTGGCTTATTAGCTTCATTATAGCAGGAGACCGCTACAAATTAGTATTCACTTACCCATTCAAATAACCACTGTTATAGTAAAACAGCTTTTTGTTTAAGAGCAATAGTCAAACCAATATTTTTAGATATACATGTGAACAAGATCGACTTAAAGTGGAGCTCCACCCAAAAGGGGAAGTTCCGTTTTAATGCTTTGTCCCCTGCTCCCCATTAAGGATTGGCACATTTGGGGAGTGGGTAGCCAAATTTGACAGGTCCCACTTCTGCTGCCATCACCTAGGCAATCGGAAGCGGAAGTTGTCCCCCCCCCCACCCCCGTAGTCTTCTGGGACACGTGACAGGTCCCATAAGACTATGGGGCCATTCACAAAGTGCAGCGCTTCTCGCGCATGCGCAGTGGGCACCTGACCGTGAAGCCACAAGCTGTCACAGCTGGGTGCCCACACTGAAGATGCTGGCGCCAAGGAGAGAAGACGGCCAGTAAAACTAGCGGTGGTGAGGACACCGCTGGACTGAGGGACATGTACGTGTCTATAATTTAAAAGTCAGTACAGTTTTTGTAGCTGCTGATTTTTATTTATTTTTTTTTTTCAGGGGGAACTCCGCTTTAATGTAAACAATTGATTTATTGTGTGTTAATGTATTGAAAACCTAGTTTTTATCTATAGTTTGTAATTATCAATGCACATGGAGGGTATACTCTCTGCAGTAATGATTTCCTTTATTTTTTCACCTCCAGTTTTGTTTCTAAGACAGCAAAGAAAATAAAAGTGTCACAATCCTTTGTGGGAGTAGAATTATGGTCTTCCTAATGTTATTTAATCTAAATGAGCTCTTGCTAGCATTTGTAATACAAATTGGTGCCAGCTATATGACAGGTAAAACATTGATTATAAAAGACTGTTTAAAGACCACTTTTTGACAACTGCTGGGAACCACATACATAAACTATATTAATGTAAATATCTCAAAATTGGATACAAAAACAAACAGAAAAACATACCCCTCTACCATCATTAAAAAATTGTCTACCATCTACTATCATTAAAATGATATTTAATATTTACTTAAGTTGAATTGATTAATAATTATGCCACATGTGTCCCATTAATACAGCATCTTTTAGCTGAAGTCTCTTCTCTGGTTTTCAGTTTCTTGGTATATAGTTTAGGCTGTAGGGACCCTAATTGAGTTGACATCTAAAGATTATTCTTAATCTTTTTATGCAATTATTTCTTTATTAGATGTAACTTTGCACCATCATATCCAGTCCCATATTAGGCCCATGTTAAAAGCTTTATTCACTTTATTAAGATTTTGTCTTGTAGTGCTAAGTTTGTAAGTAACAATAACGAATGAGCAAATTGATTTTTTATGCCACTATATTTAAAAAGAAAGATAACAATACATATATTATGATAAGATAAGTTTGTCACTTTCACATCATTTAAAAAAAAAGAGTAGAATCATAACTTTGATTCATGTACTGTATATTTATGTGTATGTAGTTGTATAAAATATTTGTGTAATTGAGATAGTACCATTGAAACCCAAAATTATATTTAACCCCTTCACGCCTAAAGGTAAAACAAATCTAAATGCCTAAGCACAATTTTGCAACATTGACACGTGTTAGTAAAACTGTACATATCATCACAACTACATTGTACATCCAGATGAATTATACCTTGTTTTTTTCAGGACAAATTGGGCTTTCATTTGGTGGTAAATGGTAATAGATATCTCCTGATTTTTTTTTTATTATTATCAAAGGAAAACTGGGCCAAAATAGTAAAAAAAAAAATATTTTTTTTAAATTTAGCTGTGTGTTTCTTGTTACTACCATAACCTACCACCAAAGAACAGCCCAAAATAATTTTTCCAGCTTTTGACGATCGCAGCAATACCATATACAGTAATACCTCGGTTTAAGAACGCCTCGGTTAAAGTAATTTTCGGTTTACAAATGAAAATCCACTGAAAATAATGCCTCGGTTTACAAATTTTGTATGAATTTTTTTCGCAATACGAAGTGTATGCCAGTGCTGATTTTTAAATGCAATTGCTGGCTCTTTTTTTTTTCTTCACTATAGCTCACAGAATTAGCTGTCACTTTCCCCAAAGTTAACGGAAATGTTGTTTCTTTTAAGAAACTAAAAAGACACATTGTTTGTCCCCCCCCCCCCTTTCCTGACCTGCCAGGCTGCATGCTCTGAAAAGGGTCTGGTATGGATTTTGGGGAGGACCCCCACGCCATTTTGTTCCCCTCAAAATCCATACCAGACACAAAGGGCTTGGTATGGATGGGAAGGGGGACCCCGCGCAGTTTTTTAAATTATTTTTTTAATTGCCGGCAATTCTTTTACATTCAGCTGTCAGTGGGGAACCCCGCTGACAGCTGAAATATTAACAAATGGTTGTCACTACTAAAATGCCGCATGACTTGATAAAATAACTCATGCGGTATTTATTAGTGTTTACTTTTTTTCTGATCTCCGGAACAGATTGGTTTTCAATCCATTCCTATGGGAAACGGCGTTTCGGTTTTAGAATTTTTAAGAAAAGTCCTGCAGAACGAATTAAATTCTTAAACCGAGGTATTACTGTATGTGTATGTTATTTGTTGTTTGTACCCGTAGTAAAGACCAGAAACAATAGTGCACTTTTTTTTTTTACCTAAAACACACTGACACTGACACTAACTGACACTGATACCAAATATTTTTTTTTAAAAATCCTGACCTTTGACCCTGACTTT